GAGCCAACAGGGAGGGGGCATCCCCTTGGAGCGCTGCAGGCTGGTTTGCAGCACACGCTTCCCAGGAGTCCGACCCGGTCCCGGTCCCGGTCCCGGCCCTGCCCAGCTGCCCTGCCCTGCTGGCCCGGCCTGGCTTGCCACCCTCTGTGGAGCCTGAATCCCAGCCAGGGTCCCTGCGGCTCCCCCGCGTGGTCCGTCCTCCCCATTCTCAGCCAGGTCCCATCTTCTGGCACGTGCTGCTGGCCTTGGCCCTCCCCCTGACCACATGCCTGGGCACCATCCTGCCCTGGGGGCTGCAGCTGGGCCCTGGCCCTCCGCCCTCACTCCCGCCCCCAGCGCCTGGGTCCTGCCCTCGCACCACCGGCGGACTTCCCGCGGGGGACTCGCTGGCCTCTGTGTGAACAGAAAGCTGTGCGGGGGCGCGCTCGGCCGGAGCCACGTGCGCCTCCCCCCCATGCGAGACACCCCCCCCTTGCCTTACGAATCGCCTGCTGGCCTCTGGGGAATGGGGCCCCTGGGCCCAGAGGCAGTTCAGAAACCCAGGCTGTGCAAAAGTTGCCCCGTGCAGCTGGGGCAAAGTGCTCTCGTTAGCCAGGGGCAAAGTTCCATTGCTGCTTCAGGGGAAAAGTCTCGGGATGCTGCAGGCTCCCCGGCATCCCGGCTCCTCTGCTCCTGGCTGGAGAGCTGCTGCGGCCGCTCCCCACTCGGGCTCCTGCACCACGTCAGGGGAAGCGCTGCGGGTGCCAAGCCAGTGAAGCCGCCAGGCCGTGCCGTGCCAGGAAGCGCCCAGCGGGGCCCCCTTGATGGGCCCCCCAGGCAGCAGTGGCAGGAAGCGCTTCCGGCCGGGGTCCTTGGCCCGCCCAGCAGCTGCCCCGGACCGCAGCGGAAGTGCTCCGCAGGCCTGGCGGCACGCAGGCTGTGCGCAGGGAGGGCCGCCAGGCAGCGCCAAGGAGCGTGGGATCCGCTGCCCAAACGCATCCCCCAGTGGGAAGGCAGCCACAGAGTGAGCCGCAGGCGGTGCCTGGGAAGGTCTCCAGCATCCAGAAACGGGCCGCCGGCTGTCCCAAGACCCTTTGTGGCTTGTGGCCCTCCAGGTTTCCTCATTCCCGTGGAAGGAATGAGGGGGACTGGGCCAGCCCCTCTTTTGACCGCCCCCCCTTTCTCCCCCAGTAGGAAAGAGAGGGCTGGGCAGTGCTGGAGCAGAGCCAGCCGAGCCCCCGAGCCCCTCCTGTGGAGTGGACCCAGCCAGCTCAGCCTCCCTCTTGCGGGTGGAGATGTGGGGGTGAAGGTTGCTCCGCCTGGGGGGCAGTTCCCCCATGTGTGGGACTGCAAGTCCCACGTGCCTCTGTCAGCGTGGACAGTGGTCCAGAATGCTGGGAATTGCTGGGAACACCCGGGGACCTGCCTCTGCCCACCCGGGGACAGATTGCCCATTATTCAAACACACGGCTGGACTGGTGCGGTTTTACCATGCGAATCCCGACACGCGGCTCCGTTTGGCCTCCTTCCATGCCCAGAGAGCACGTGCAGTTAATATCTGGAAGCACACGGGCCTCTTTGACGGCTGGCCGAGGGCTAGAGAGAGGCATGCACTGAAATCCGCATTCATTGGGAGATGCTACATAGCAGAGCTATAGTTCTTCTTTTTCTGGTGCCTGCACTATGTCGTTGCGGGCACAGTTATGTGTGTGGTCCCACCAGCGAAGGCTCCCGCCAGCTGCGCCTCCGGTGATGCTCGGTGGAGCCGCCGGTCCCCGGCCGTCTGCGCCTCTGGAGTCATGCTTTTACGGCTCGGCCTGCGGTCGGAAGTTAACGCTCTTGCCGCTGACGGCAGCCCTCCATCCACATGGCCCTTCGCGCCTCTGATCCCCTTCCTTGCCGAGTGAAAGCCGAAGCGGGGCGGCTGCTCCCCCCCACGTGCCTCCCCATGAATCCCGGGGCCGGTCTGACTCATCTTTGCTGGTTGCCGCGCCAGTGGATGGTGGCACCTTCTCCGATGCCGAAAGGGGCAGGTTGCATGCTTGTGAGGAGAGAGCGTGTCGTGGGGACAAAGCTCCCCCGCATGAGAGCTGCTTCCCCAGGCACCCCACGGGCGCCGGTTCCCGCAGGCGGAGCAGCCACAGCCGCGTTGCGCGATTGCAGCCCTCCCGGGCGCCTGGGATCTGCAGGCCCTTCTCGTGAGAGCAGGCCTTTTTCAGAATATGAAGACCTGAGCTTCAATGTCGCCTGTACCATCAGTAAGCAAAGCTTTCTGGCCACTGAGTTCTTATGCGCTGCCTGAGGACCTTCTCTGCCGCTTGGGATTTTGAGGTCCGGAAAATAACGGGGCTGCTCCGAGACAGCCGAGACGCCTTCCTGGGCTGGGTGCTGCGGCTGCCGGGGCTCTGCTCCAAGTGCCGACTCGGAGAGACGTGCAGACAGGCCGACAAGAGGGAGGGCTTTCCTGGTGGTGGCTCCGTCTCTGGAATAGCCCCCCCCCCCACTGTGGATTGGCTGGTGCCAGGCTAAGGGGGCTCTCCCTTCTGAGGCTTTTGGAAGCTTGCTCGCCCCCCCCCGGGGGGGGCTTGGGGGGACCACCAGGTGCTTTGTCATTCCTTTCAGCCGAGTTCTACTATTACACTATTTTTCTCTGATTTTTTAATCTTTTGTTTCGATGGACTCTGTAAACCACCCAGAGAGCTTCTGCTGTGGGGCGCCATAGAAACAGAATTATCACCAACAATTATTACCAATGCTTCTCTTCCGGAAGGTGGTTATGGGCTGGAGACGGGTCCGAATCTGCAGCAACTATGGCTTTTCCCACCAGATCCCGAGGGCGCTCAGTGGGACCGATCCAAGTGGGGCCCCATGACCTTGCCGGTCAGCTACCTGGCCTCGGAAGGCCTGAAGGCGGATGCAGCCGGTGCGCCACTCCAGGTGGCCTCACGCCTGCCTGATCCAGCAATGCCCCCTGCTCTTGCACTGCATCTGGGGCCCTGCTCCCCGTGGGGAGGCCCCGATCCCTGCAGAGGGGCTGGGCCTGGGCCTGGCCTCCTGCCCGCAGCGTTCCACGCGGACAGACACCGGGCCCCTGCTCAGCCACTGGGGAGGGCGCCCAGGCGGGGCTGCCAGCGCAGCCTCCTGCCGCTTCAGCACATGGGCGACACCAGCCCATTTCGAGGAAGGGAGGCCAGCAGGCACAGCGGGCAGAGACCCTCTGCCCTGCCTGAGGATGTCAGGGGCTTCCCTGCGGGCTCAGCGCCACCTGCTGGTAACTCGGGAAAAGTTCTGCAGACCAGGAGCACTACCCTGGAGATTGTTGTGTGCCACCAGGCTTGTTGTTAGTCGTAAAGTTGTGCCTGAACGTCGTGCCCCCGTGGACAATGTTCCTCCAGGCCCTCCTGTCCTCCACCATCCCCGGAGTCCACCCAAGCCCACACCCTCTGCCCCAGTGACTCCATCCAGCCACCTCATCCTCTGCCATCCCCTTCTTCTTTTGCCATATATTGTTCCCAGCATCAGGCTCTTCTCCAGGGAGTCCTTCCTTCTCATTAGGTGGCCAAAGTATTTGAGTTTCATCTTCAGGATCTGGCCTTCTAAAGGGCGGTCAGGGTTGATCTCCTCTAGGACTGACCAGTTTGATCGCCTTGCGGTCCAAGGGACTCGCAGGAGTCTCCGCCAGCACCACAATTCAAAGGTCTCAATCCTTTGGTGCTCAGCCTTCCTTATGGTCCAGCTTTCACAGCCATACATTGCAACTGGGAAAACCATAGCCTTGACTATACGCACTTTTGTTGGCAGGGTGATGTCTCTGCTTTTTAGAATGCTGTCTAGATTTGCCATAGCTTTCCTCCCCAGGAGCATCTTTTAATTTCTTGGTTGCAGTTCCCGTCTGCAGTGATCTTGGAGCCCAGGAAAATAAAACCTGTCACTACCTCCATTTCTTCCCCATCTATTTTCCAGGAAGTGAGAGGACTGGATGCCATAATCTTAGTTTTCTTAATGTTGAGTTTTGCACTCTCCTCCTTCACCCGCATCAAGAGGTTCTTTAGTTCCTCTTCACTTTCCGCCATGAGAGTGGTATCATCTGCATATCTGAGGTTGTTGAGATTTCTCCCAGCAATCTGAATTCCAACTGGTGATTCATCTAGGCCCGCCTTTCTCATGATGTGCTCTGCATATAAGTTAAATAGGCAGGGAGACAGTATACAGCCCTGCCAAACTCCTTTCTCAATTTTGAACCAATCGGTGGCTCCGTGTCCAGTTCTCACTGTTGCTTCTTGACCCGCATCCAGGTTTCTCAAGAGACAAATAAGATGGTCTGGCACTCCCATCTCTTTAAGGACTTGCCACAATTTGTTGTGATCCACGCAATCCAAGGCAGAGTTGATCCCCCCACAGAACCTAGGAGCCTCATTTGGCGGGTTCCTCCCCCACCCGCTGCAGCCCCTGCTTGGGATTCTGCCCCGTTGCTGAAGCAGGTTGGCCAAAGCGTGGTTTTGCTGCCATTTGGAAGGATCCTTGCTTTCTTCTTGCGACTCACTCCAGGCTCCTTTCACTGTGTTTTCAGTGGAAAGTAAGAGGCATGGACAGACAGAAAAAGCGAAGGCATTTGCCCGCGGAAGGCGGGAAGGCCGCTGCCCTGCCCTTGCCCCGTGGCACAGCTTTTCCCTTGCCCCCAGGTGGGGCGCTGGATCATCTGGATGCCTCCCCGGGCGCAGCACAGGGCCCCCCGCTGGGTGGTGGAGCGAGTGGCCCCACGGCAGCTGCCCACGTTCCATGGGGGGCACAAGCCAACGTGCCACGGCCTTGCCAGTGCCTCCCCCCCACCGCCCTTCCCAAGATCGGCCTTGGCGGTCAGTGCAGCCGCCGCCTGGAGGTGCTGCTCCTCTGGGGTGGGGGGAAGCCTCCGCCGCTCTTCCCCAGCTGCAGGGAAAGACACCTCCACCGCGGGTGCTGGCTGGGCTAAGGACACTGCCTGCAGCCCACGCCCTCCTGGACGATGTAAAGTTCAAACATCAGGCGATATATATGCAGTTTTATTTAGAAAATTAAGGGTTCACCTGCCTCTGCCAGTGTTGGGAGCAAGCAGGAGGGACGGTGGGAGCACTTGTCCCGGCCGCCATCCTCTGGCTCCCCACAACCACGCATGCTTCCTTTGCCTTTTGGATAGAGAAGCTGCTACGAAAATGCAGGACTATTTCCATCTTATTAACAATAACTATTAGTCAAACCAGTGCATGCTAAATTTACTAATTACTCCGTACTACTGGACATCTCCAGATGATAGGATGAGGCACCTATGTTTTCCACCTTAGAAATCAAGTCATTGCAGATTTTGGTGAGTTCTTCGTTTTCCTTCACCTGTGGAAGAAATGAGGGGGAAACGCTCACACAGGTTGAGCGGCACACTGCAAAAGACCCCGTGTCCCACGGCCTCTTTCTGCCGGTCGGCCTGCCTTCGCTAGCTCTGCAGGCGCCCATTGCAGGACTCACCAGGCGCCACCCAGGCACTACGGACCTGGCGGGCGCCCGGCCCTGTGGCTCCACGCTGCCTGGGGAGGAAGCGTGCACCCGGGGACGCCCAGGCCCGGACTCGGGTGCGGCCCGACTGACCTTCAGTGCGACGCTTTGCTCGAGCGACTGGGTGCGCATCTGCTCCTTGCGCAAGCTGGCCCGGAGCACCGTCAGTTCCGTCTTGGCCTGGTTTCTCACTCGGCCAATCTCTTCGCTCGCCCTGAGTCAAAAAACCGTCCGGGAGCGTTACATTTCAAACAGACGTGTCCCTCACGCGCCAGGAGGGCCGGGCCGAGCCGGGCCGGCTCGGCACTCTGCTACTCACTGGGCGAGCTTCTCCGTGGTGTGCACCTTCAGGGCCTGGTACCGCTGCTCCTCCGTCGCGATCCTCGCCATGCACTCCTCCGCGTGCTTCTTCAGAGCCTCTTCGTTCTAGAGAACGGACGCCCGGCAAGCGCCAACAGGCGCTGAGACGAGCAGCTGCGGCCCCAGGGCCCCTCCGCCCCCTCCCTGCCGCGTCCTGCAGCCAGCCCTCTCCCGGCTACGGCTGCCGGTGCTGCAGAACGGATCGTCGCGGGGGCGCAGCGCAATGGGGAAGCAGTGGCACCGGGAGCCCGACGGGGCCGCCGCGCTCCCCACGGCTAGGGCCGGCCTTACGGCTGCACCGAGCCGCTGAAGGCCTTGCTGGATGAGGCGGCGGCCCTCGTGCGCTGCCTGTGTGGGGCTCGGAGCCAGGCTAGCAGCGGGGCAGCTTCGCAAACCCTCTGCCATTTCGCGTTATTGTCAGGCGGTTCTTCAGGGGGACCAGAGAGGCAGCTTGGGCAGCCCCCAGGGGCACCCCAACAGAGGGCATGTGTGCCGGGAAGCCATTCCTGCAGGTGCCCTGCCTAGAAACGGGGAGGCTTCTGCCATGGCACAGCTCTGCCTTTGGGAAGAGAGGGACTGCCCGCCCGCCCTCGGAGGGACCCTGCATGCATCAGCAGCAAGTGCCGGGCCCAAACACAACACGGTGCGCTTCTCAGAGGCGAAGCAACAGCGCCACTACTCCAAGCGCCACTGCTGCTACCCGACCCCGGCCTACTCCCCTCCTGGGGGGCTTGAAAGGCGAAAAGCAGCAGAAAGCAGGGAAAGCGCGGGTGGAAAAGCTGCACCTGGCGCGGCCCTCAGGGTGGTGACAAGTTAAGTGAGACCCCACCACGAAGGAGGAAGGGGTGGCCAGCGCTGCTTGAGGGCGTGAGAGAATGTCAGGGGGCTGCGAAGGCAGGTGAGGAATCACTCACCTTCAGAAGTCCTACTATGGCTTCCTTCTGCTTTTCAAACCTTTTATAGAGGTCAGCAAAAGATTTCTCCATGGAGTTCAGAGCAGACACAGCTTGCTGTTTCTCCTCTTTTTCCTTCTGGGAAGCCTCTAAAGAAAAGGGTGGGTGCGAAGGACACACGTGTGTGCTCCAGCTGCTGGAAGACAGGGGGTGTGGCCCAGCATGCACGCCTCTGGTGTGGGGCACCCCCTCCCTGGGACAGCAAGGTCCCCCAAGACCCTCCGCGCCCTTGTAATATGCACCTACCCATCATTCGTATTGCGACATCTTCAAATTCATCACAGAGCTTTCTAAAGAGAAAAAAGCACAGCCAGAATAGCGGCCCGGACGATGCCGGTCGCGGTGACGCAGGCCTCTGAGGCAGCAGCCACCACAGCTGGGACTCGTGCGGTGCGGCCCCGTTGCACCTACCTCATCTCCACACACTTTTTGTCGCGCTTCTCCTTCCATTCCAACGCTTCCTGCCGCAGTTCTTGCACCTGAGAACACAAAGTTCCCCGATGGCGGAGCGACCTTGGGCAGGCCGAAGCCGTGCTGCCAGGGCGCCCACCGGGCCGAGGACAGTGCCAGCACTCGGCAAGCCGACTGACAGCTGCTCGGGCCTCGTCCCCTCCTCCTTCTCCAGATAGATGGGGACCACTGCACTGCCACGGTTCCTGGGCAGCCCAGCCCTGCTGCCCTGAGCCCACCTGCCCAACCCTGTGCCTGGCTGGAGGAAGCGACCGGGTGCCGAAATGAGTCCGCAACAGCACTGCCCCCTGCGCTCTCCTCCCGTGCTCCTACCTCGGAGGCGAGTTGCTCTTTGACCTTTTCTATGGCAGCGTCTAGGTCTCTCTGGCTGTATATCAGCGCTTCGGTAACAGGCTTGAGAGAGAGAGCGCGAGAGTGAGCGTGCACAGAGGGAAATGGGGAAGTGCCAGGCCGGGCTGCCTGGAGAAGCCCTGCCTGCTGTGGGGAGGCGAATGCCTGGCCCGCAGGCAGGGCATTCGCTACAGCTGCGTGAGTAGATGCTGAGCTTCGGAGGCATCGAGTGGGTGGCTTCAAACAGGACACAACTGGCTGCCGTCGCAGCTCCTCGCACTCGCCGGCTCGCCCCTTCAGCTGCCCAGCGCAGCCCCCCTTGGCCCTCTGGGGAGAAGGCGGGGCGGCAGCAACACGCCAGGCCTGACCAGCCTGCTTACGCATCTATTCCGAATTGTTCCCAAAAGCTACCAACGCCCAGACCGAAAAAGGACTGCCAGACATCCACTAAATGGTGCTCACCAGATCCGTGAAGGGGCCGAGAAGATCTGTTCCCTCTGACTTTTCTTCGGGTTCTACTGGCTTTACCACCAGAGGTGCTATTTTTGCGGACTGTCTGCTTCAAAAAAACAGAAGCAATTCTGACACATTCTGTACGGGATCTGAAGTCGAACACTAAAACGTGAGCCACCCAGCGCTCTGGCAGAGGCGGGTGGGGCACAGAAGCAAACGATGCACGCCCGACACTGACCCGTTCTGACACAGCGAGAGAAGAGCAGCAGGCGTGGCTGCATGGGCACCAGGTCCACTTTTCCGGGGACTTTCGCTGAGCAAAGGGTCAAACTTCAGGTACAGAGACTGCTTTCTCAGGACAGATCCCTTGAACTGCAGGAAGGAGCTGGTAAAAATATGGGAAAGCAGCCAAGCCGTCACACCGCCCCCACCTCCCTTGCTGGAGTCGCACTCTGGAGGCGCACGTGGTCCCGGGAAGCGCCTGGCAAGCAGCTTCTCCACGCGGAGGGACAGGGGGATGTGCCCGAGCGGCTGCTGCGCAGCGGGGCCTCTCAGCCCGGAAGGAGCAGCTACGGAATGACCGGGCTCGGAACATGCCACGTGGGCCACCGTGGGAAGCACCTTCACGCACGGCACGAGTTAACGAGCACAATAGTCTAGGACTGCATGCCCACAAGGTGGCAATTTTGACAGCAAACACTGTGACAGCGTTGCAAAGACAGGTGGTCAGGGCAATGTCTGCAGCCAGGGTGGCTGCTGCACCCTGCTCTGCTTTACCAGCCAACGCCTGCGCCATCTACACAGGTCACAGCCTGGCCACTCACGGAGGATGTTCCAAATTGCTCCAGATAGTCCACCTCCATGTCCGTTCCGAAAACTAGAAGGAAAGACGAATGCTCGAGTGAGTGAGTGTGACAGTAACTAGCAGTAAAGTTTCCATCCTAAGTAATTAAGATAGCATTGTTTCCTGAGATAAGAAAGAGCAAGAACATCTGTAATTTAATTTTCGCAGCTGGTGTGCACTGTGGGAGATGACAGCAGCTTTCAATCAGATAGCTGGCCCGTTATCACGGGAAATATATTTGGCCAAAACCTGACACGCGAAGCTATGTTGAAACAGTTTTCAGTGTTTCAAATGGAATGCATTCACTGGATTGACTGCCGTGTCTGGACCCTCAGCAACAGCTCCAAGTTCTAGGTCGAGGGCAGGAAACTATTTTCCAGTTGAAACCTACATCGCACTTGGTTAAATTTTTGGTGCTGGAAAATTGTGCAACTCAGGGTTGTAATGGTTTTTGCCCGTCTTTTGCAAGTGCACTCTTATAAGCAGCCCAAAACATGCAGTTTTGCTTAGTCAATTTGCTTGTCTGTTTCAGCTCTGGAAGAGAGCAGAGAAGATGAAAGGCAAGGGAGTTAACAGGGTGAGACGGCTCAGACTGGCCTCTGCCCACAGCTGCCTGGACCAGCTGCGGAGCTGTCCATGGGAAGGCACAAAAAGCAGGGTGGGGAAGACTCGGCTGCCCTTTGCAGCACAAGCTTCCCCGTCCTCAGTGTTCAACCGAGAGTTATTTGTGACTTCCAGCTAACACTGGAATTGCCTCCGGCTATTCAAAGGGGAGGCTGTTCACTCCCCTCGCATGGCACGATGGGTGCAAGAGAACCAGCAGGAAGGCTGAGGGGGAGACAAACCGCGGTGGCCGCGCCGCCTGCCAGGCGGGCTCTCCGGGGAACGAGCGACGCGCCCCGGCTTTGCATGGGGATTCGCAGGGGGTGAGGGGCCTGCGCTTTCCCAGTCGGCCTCCCGGGGTGTTGCGTCCCTGCCCAGGGCCTCGCGCCACAGGACCGGCATGGCTGCCTGCTAACCGGACAGTTCCAGCAGAGGCTCGGACCCAGCCCCTCACCTTCCGTGGGTGATCTGAACGCCTCCTCTTCCACGTCCATCTGGCTGCTTTCCGTCGCTGCTGCTTCAGTCCTTCCGCAGGGGAACTGGAGCGGGAGGCCATCTCCGAGCAACTGAGTTGAAAGTCAAAACTGAGTCAAAAGAGGCCGCTGGCTAAGGTGGAAGCATACGCAGGTGGGGCTGGAACGGGCCCCTGGCCCAGCCCCTGCCCAGGGCGGGACTCCGAGATAAAGCATTCCTCTCAGAGGGCTGCCCAGTTGCTGCCCACCAGGTTGAATGCCTCCAGTGTGTGCGAGCCCACCGCCTCCCCAGGTCTTTGGCTCCACTCCCGTACTGCCCTCAGCCAGGAAGTTCTTCCTGGTGTTGAGCCGGAGAGCTGGCTTCCTGCACTGAGCCCGTTATCCTGTGTCCCGCACTCTGGGACGGTCGAGCAGAGATCCTCTTTGTGATGGCCCTTCAAGGACATGCAGAACGCTACCCGGCCTCCCCTCAGCCTTCTCTCCTCGAGGTGAAACACGCCCAGTTCTCCCAGTCTTTCCCTCGGGGCTTTGTGCCCAGTCCCTGGACCATCACGGCTGCCCTCCTCCGAACCCCCTCCAGCTTGACTGCATCGTTCTTCGACTGCGACACCCAGAACCGGGCACCGGACTCCAGGCGGGCCTCCGCAGTGCCAAGCCCCCTGCTGCACAGGGCCTGAGTGAGGCTCCCTGCTGCAGACCTCGCTGGGCGCCAAGTCAGGGCTGGGCTGGGCTGGGCTGGGCTGGGCTGCCTGCCTGCGTAGCCTCGCTGTGAAGAGGAGCGATGGCAGCAATAGGAGTAAGCGGGGCTTGCGCTCTGCGCATGGGCGGCAGAGGACAGTTTCGACACTGTGGGAAAGTTATGCTGCTGCTCCTCCTGCCCTGAAAGTGGGGAGAATGACAGACGCAGGGACTGTACAATACCGTCACTGAGTCTGGAGGTGCGGCATCAAATGTCGCTGGAGCCACACGACCTTCAGCTACACTCTGATCAACAAGCTCTTTCCTAGAGGAATTAGAAGATGCATGTTATAATACCTGGAAACAAATGAGGGTGGTGACGCTCGCTAAGCCCCGGGAGGTGTCTTCATCTGCTCACAACTCGCTCGGTCTTCCACACCCCCCACCTCTTGTATTAACACTTAGGCAGGGAGCCTTTTTGGCAGCGACTTCTGTTTTGGAGATGGCTCAATTTACCTAGAAGTAGCCACTGAGAAATATGTCTCCTCCTCAAAGGTCTAGGGGAAATTCGTTTTCTAATGTGCAATGCTTAATTCTCCTACCCAGTCCCCTCTTCTCCATCCCACACATTTAAGCCCAGAATCTTGGAAGAGAAAACCTTTCATGAGTTGGCAGTGCCTGCTTTCAAGCCGAAGACGCAGCCAGACGCGGTCACGGAATACTTACGGTTTTCTGGAGGCTGCTTCTGTTACTGCAGGTTCATCTGTTGGGTTGTGCTGGGACATTACAGAAGGATCCGCTTCATCATTGCCTCTCTCAGTGGTGGGCACAGACCGGAGGGAATTCTGTATATCGGAACCACCTTCAAACGGGTTGAAATTAGGATCGTTGCAGTCAAAGCTGTAAGGCACTTCGGGGGCAGAACTCTTTCCAGCTCCAGCGGTGTTCTCTTCCGCCTTCTCCTTTATGTCACCACAGCCGAGATCCTCAAAAGGACAAGATCCTTGTGCATGCGGCACAGAAGGACTCTGCGTGTTCGATTCGGAAGCCAATTTTGCAGCCTTATCAGATCCCAGAATTCGCTTGGAGGCATCACCAGCCAGCCATGAGGCCAAGGCGGAAGGCCCAGTAGCCGTTGCCACTGACAGAGGGTTCTCAGCAGCAGTCCAAGGCATGCAAGGGGCACCAAGGAGCACATCAAATGCTTCCCCACCAGGAAAATCCGCCACGGAGGACGTTCCCTGACCTTTGCGGGGGCTGAGAAGGCCATCAGAACTCTTGACGGATGAAGCCACATCAGGAACACTTTCTGCTGGTGGGACATCATCTAGAGGACCGGGACTGACCTTTCCTTCAGCCTCTCGTCCCTTTTCTGCCACTTCGGTATCTGCCGCAACCAGCTGCTGGCTCCTGTTCCAAGACAGAGCACAGCTAATCAGCTGGCTCAGCCTTTCCTCGCCTGGATCCACTCTTGCGATGAGAGTAAGTCGTGGCCCATTCCACAGTCCTCAGGAGCATAATATTTTATTCCCGTTCCAGATCACTGGCGTCCCAGTCCCGTCCTCAACACCACTGGCCCCTCCAGAAGCAGGTCACAACAGAGCGGGCCCCCGCCCGGCTCGTGCTTCCCACCAAGGCTAGAACAGGATTGGCCGCATCGCCTTGGCAGGCGCATGGGACAGGGAAGCCACCAGGAGCTGCTGGAGGGCGTGGCCGTTCCCACCCTGCTCTGCCCAGAGTTCCCCGGGATACCGGCGGGAGACTAAGAAAGGATGGCAGCAAGAGGTGCCCCTTCGCTACGTGGGGTCCCAGGCAAAGGAACCGCTGGGGTGGCTTCCAGGTCAGGCAGGACCCCTTGCTGCAGGGGCACCTGCCTGTGGCGTTGGGGCACTCATTCCCAAACAGAGCAAGGGTTCCGGCACCCGCTGCTGCTTCCAGGGGCTTGGTGGGCACCTGCACCTCGCCTCCGCCTGTGGAGAGGACTCATTCCAGTTCCCTCTTCCTGCCTTAATGAACCGGCTGCTAGGCAGGGGGAGTGCACGCAAAGAAACAGGGGCCGTCTTACAACCTCCTTGGGACCAGGATACCTAAAGGAACGCCTTCTTCCCCATTTGCCCTCCCGCCCCCTGAGGTCGGCAGCAGAGGCCCTTCTCCGGGAGCCCTCTGTGAAAGAGGTCAGGAGACAGAGCACCCGGAGGAGGGCCTTCTCTGCGGTGGCGCCCCATCTGTGGAATGTGCTCCCCAGAGAGGTCCGCCTGGCGCCGTCGTTATTTGTTTTTCGGCGCCAGGCTAAGACCTTTTTATTTCAACAATATTTCAATAATTTTTAATATCAGTTTATAGGTTTTAATATGCAGCCAGGGTGGATCTGGATTTTATCTGTATTATATTTAATTTATGTAAGCCGTCCCAAGGGTATGCGATGGGACAGCATACAAATGCTCTAAATAAATAAATAAACCAACCAACCACAAATCAAGGCACAGGGTGCCTGTTCTACTCACACAGCACCAGATGCAGGCAAGGCAGAGTCCTCTGGAACCTCTGTGGAGCCACCCAGGAGGAAGGGCCTCTCAGGTTTCTTCCTTCTATCTGGACTCAAGATTCTGTGAGTCTGCGGATCCCGCATAGGGGACTGGAAAGTTACCTTAGGAGGAGAAGTTCCCCAGGGATCAGCAGAGGCCAAGCAGCTCACACCTACGCTTGTCTCTTGATGGTCTGCCCCCCCCACTGTGGGTGACACAGGAATCACTCACGGAAAGGTGACACCGGAGGCCTATCGATAAATACATGTGACAGAAGCTCCCCATCCAGAAGCAGCCACAGAAACCTGGTGCGGAAGGGCCAGGCAAGCACGACAGGGTGGGGCAGCGAGGCTTTGGCAGAGTGCTACTGGGAAGCAAGCTCAGGCAAACCTCCTGAGAGGGGATGTGTCGCCCCCAGCGGCTTCCGCAGCGGGAGCAGCTCTCGCACCTCTGCCGCTGCAAAGGAACATCGCCGCCAACAGCTGGGGAAACCCAACAAATGGGGACAGCGCGTTGCATAAGGTGCGGATGCCGTGCCAGTCAGACGCTGCTGCCAAACTGCAGCTGAGCATTGCGTGCCCGGACTATGTGGCCCGCTCGCCCGCTCTGTGCTTTGCCCAGTCCCATACCTGCAACGATGGCGGCAGTCCATGTGCAAATGTAGAAGGGATCCGCTGGGCCTTCTAGTCTGACCCCGGGCACCAGCCAGCTCCATTCATGATATGCAATATACAATTCTGAAGTGCCAGCAAGGAAACCCACCAGTCCCACAGACTGCACCCAAGGCTTCCTTCTACAGTGGCAACTGGGAAGAGCTACCCTGGGCAGTACCGTACCTTCCTTGGCTTCACTATCCCCTTCGGTGGCACATTTTCTTTCTGTGATGGGCAGAGGATGGAAGACTTCAAGGCCTCAGGAGACACAAGAGGCAATCCAGAGCTTTCTGAGACCACGTCGTCACTGACATTTTCTGTGTTTACAGCTTTCAGGCTCATTCTAGGGATGAACACAGAGATGCCAACGAGCTGGTGTAAGTCAGCTACTTAGCAAGCAATTCAAGCACCCCAGCAAGGAGATCTACTGGTCCCTTGCTATTAACTAATTAGGCAATGACACCCAGTTGACCGATCATCAGGTGAGGTCAGGGCAAGGGGGCGGCAAGGGGGCATGGTCTCCAGAAAGGAGCCCTGCACAGAGTGATACTTGGGAATGCGAGTTTGGAGAGAAAACGCACGTTTGCTGATGAGGTCCAATTATTTAGGGTGGTTAAAATGAAGAGGGGCCATGGGGACGCGCAGAGGGACTTTTCCAAGCTGGGAGACGCGGCAGCCACATGGAAAACGCGCTTGCACGTAAGCGAGTGTACCCCGGCGCGACTGGGGCGAGGGACCGCAAGGGACCGTCGAGGAAAGGCCGGCGGGACACCTCGAGGGGAGCGTGGCGGGGCACGGGGCGGCGGGGAGGAGCAGGCCGCTGCGCAGCCGCTCCCCGGGCGGAGGGGCTGCCAGGCGGGGCGCGGAGGCCGGGCCGGGCCGGGCCAGGCGAGCACGGGCCGGGCGAGCACGGGCCGGCGCTACGGGCCGGCCCCCCCCCCGACGGCCCCCCGCCCCCCCGGACGAGCCCCCACGGGGAGGAGCAGCCGCACCTGCCGTGCCCGTCGCGCCGCCGCCGCCGGGTCACCGCAGAGCCGCCGCGCGCTGGAATTTGAACGCTGGCACCGCCCACGTGCGTGGCCAATCACGAGCGAGAGCGGGCCGCGTCCGAGGGCACGTGAGCCGGGCGCTCCGCCGCCCCGCTGGTGCGCAGGCGCGGCGCGCGCGGGCTTCCCGGCCCAGCCCACTTCGCGGGAGCGCCGTGCTGGCGGCCCCTCCCGCGGTCCTGCTCGCGCTCAGTCTCGGGCATCCCAAGCGGGCGGCCCGGCGCCGCCTCCCCGGACGTGCCGGTGCGGGGCGCGGTGCCTCGCCCCGTCGCTCCCCGAAAGGCCCGTCCGTGCGCCCTCCGCTGCTCCGCCTACCGGGCTCGCAGCGCCCCGCTTTCTCCCAGCGTTGTGTCGGGGCGCGCAACCCGCGCTCCATCCGCGGCAAAGCCGCGCGTGCCCCGCAGAAGCATCGCCGTTTGGGTTGTGGGGCACCTGCGCGTGGGAAGCGTTCAAGCGGCGCTGCGAGGAGTGAGTGGACGAGCGGGCGAAGGCAGGCAGGCCTGCGATGCTTCCCATGGGAAGGGAAGGGAATGGCCCAGGCGTGCAAAACCCACGGCCTGCACTTCTGGCAGTCGGACCCCGAAGGTGTGGAACGGGCTCCCACGGGAGGTGGTTGAGGCCCCATCGGTGCGGGTGTTCAAGGACAGGCTGGACGTGCACATGGTGGGCATGTCGTGAGCGGAGCTGGCTGGAGCCGGGGGTCAGACTAGATGGCCCGAGAGGACCCTTCCGACTCGCGCTGTTTCTGTTGAGCCCGCTTCACGCGGAAGCAGCGGAAAGACGCCGCGTGTGCCCCGAGCCCCGCTACAGGGGTGCCTGCCGTTCCAGCCGTGGGGCTCGTTTGCCGAGCCCTCTCCTGCCAGGGACCCCGAACCGGCGCACCCTCTGACGTGAGGAGCATCGCCCGCCTGGCGAGGACTTGTGCGCGACGTCGGCGAGGCCATGGCGCTCCGCGGCTCCACGGGCGCGTTCTGCGGGCTCGTCCTCCAGGCAGGCGCTGCAGCCCCGTGCCCTGGCCGGGGAGCTGGGCCGTGGCATCGCCGCCAGGGTTCCTCCCGGCTGCCCTGGAGCAGCGCAGCGCCCGCATCGAGTGGCACCGGGGCCACCCAGTCGGCATCCGTGCGGGAGGCGGCCTAAAGCGAATTCAGCGGGCCTTGCTTCCAGATGCGCTGGGCTTGTAACCCGAGGCCGTGGGCCCGTCCTCGGGGGGGCAGGTGCGGGCTGGCCGGCGAGAGCGAGCCCCCGCGTCGCACCAGCAGGCGCCCGTTTGGCAAGCGCGGGCCCCGGATAGGCCCTGCAACGCGTGCAGAGGGGGGTGCGAGCGCTCGCACCGGGAGCCCTGCTTAGGAGCGCGCCCGGTCGGGCCGGCTCGCACTCGAGCGGAGGGGCTGCGGACCCGGCCTCGGAGGGGAGAGGAGCCGCCGCCTCGGGCCCCGTCCGCGGCGTGCCGAGCGCGGCCGCGGAGCAGCGCCGGAGGCCCGCCTCCTCCCGCGGCCGGGCCCGCGCTCCGCGAAAGCGCCCGCCCCGGAAAGGCCTCCGCCGGGGCCGCCCCGCCTCGCCTGCCGGAGGGCCGCGTCCGCAGCCGGGGCGCGGCGATGGAGGGCGGCGCGGCCACGTTCTCGCTGGCCTACGCCGTGCTGGCCGTGTGCTTCGTGCTGCCGCCCAGCGAGTTCCACTCGGCCGGGCTGACGGTGCCGCAGCTGCTGGGCGGCTGGCTGGGCAGCGAGGACGCGGCCTTCGTGCAGTTCCACCTGCGGCGCGGCGCCGGCACGCTGCTGGCCCACGCCCTGCTCCCGCTGGGTGAGCGCCGGCCGGCGGGGCGCCCGCGCCCGCGGGGGCGAGCTTCGGGGTGCCCTGGGCCTCTTCCCGTGGCGCTGCGCCCGCCCCAGCGCAGTTCTTTGGGCGACCGCGAGGAGGAACAGGCCCCCGGGGGTGGGGGGTAGCCTGCGGAACTTGGGAATGCGCAAAGGTACCGCGTAGAGCCGAGGGAGAAGCCGAGCGCGGACACGCACGGCCACCTGCCGGGGAGAGTGCCGAAGGTTTCACTTGGTGCCGGAAAACGGGCACAGTGGGCACCGGATGAGCCTCCCTGGAGTGTGACTTCCACTACCAGGCTCTCACCGATGCCCAGATGGGTCTTAGCCTTTTGGTTTCCTGTGCCTGCTGGACGGGTAATCACCGTGCTCCTGGATGAAACTGGTTTTGCTTTCTGAAGGCACCTCTCTTGTTCCTTGCAGGCTATTACGTTGGCATGTGCTTTGCCGCTCCAGAGAAGCAGCTCTGTGACGTTTATAAGGCTCCAGACAGCTGGAAGGTCTTCTTCTTGCTGGCGGTCCTTGCCCCCACCCTTGCCGGCCTCCTAGTCTACTACTGGTCGAAAAAGGGCTGGAAGAACCACCCGCTGGTCAAGGTCCTCTCACTGTACGCCCTTCCGCAGTCGGGGTGGGCGGCCGTGGCCGCTTCCATCAACACAGAATTCAGGCGAGTGGACAAGTTTGCCACGGGGCCCCCAGGGGCTCGAGTGATCGTCACAGACTCCTGGATCATGAAAGTGACCACCTACTGTTTGCATCTTGCCCACCAAAGGGACATCCACCTCACGGTGGTCGACTCCAGGCAGCACGAACTCTTGCCGGACTCCCACATGCCTGCGCAGTTCCTCACCATCCGTGTTGACAGCGTGAACCCTGGTGTGAAACCTTTCGATATCCGGTAAAAAGACCAGCTTTCAGGCGGGTGGGGACTTGGAGTGCGTTTTACATCAGGAGAAGTGGAAATTCCTGTGATCTGAATGGTTCACAAAGATGCTTTTAATAGGTGGGGAATAATGTGAACTACAGAAATGACTGAAGGTCACTGATCACTGGGTTCATCTACCCACAGAACAAATACTGCTGCAGAAGCAATCTTGGCTTCCCATCTCCCCCATCTGCGTGGAGGGCAGAGGAGAGACGAAGGAACTCTTGCTGTTGGGTGCTGCATATACACCCGGCCACAACGCCGAACCGGCTGGCACGGTTTATTGTGGCACAAACTGGCTATCCTGGATGAGAGTCCGCTTTGCCAGATGCGCCTGCTGAGGTGCAGCTGTGGACACATGTACCGTGAAAGCATGTCGCCCTTAAGGGTCCTGCAAGATGCTTGGGTTCGAGAAAATTGTAGCTAATCTGCTTCAGTGGGCGTCTCACCCATTTGCTCCTGAGGTGTAGGGTGGACACCCGGCCTCAGCCTCCTGCAGCTGCACTTCAGCAAAACGGGGGTCCTTCCCGGACGGGATCCCTGAAGGAAGTGGAACGCTTTGTTCTGGTTGGGGGAGGTGCCAGCGAAAGCAGTCCAGCTACAATCTGCTCGGTCATGCAGCTTGTCATTTGAAGTTAAAAATATTTATTAGGAAGCTGGCGTGGTGTGATTCACACGCTGGGCTGGCGATCTGGTTGGAGTCTCCACCTGGGCAGGCCCTCCTCGGTCTAACCTGCCTCACAGGGCGGACGCAAGCATGAAATGCAGCTGTACAGGCCATGGGTTCCCTGCAGGTGGAAAAAGGTGGGATAGGAATGCAATGCAGTGAGTTTTGTCCCTCCTTTCTCTCTGTGTCTCAAAAGGTCCCAGGATCTTTAGCACAGGAGGCTGTGTCACTGTTCCTTAGACGGTATAATCACACCCTACCCTGTAGACGTGCACAGAAGTCTGACACGCCATTCTGTTTTCCTTAGGCTGAATTCAACTGAATACGGGGAGCTACGGGAGAAGCTGCACGCGCCCATCCGCAGTGCTGCGAATGTGGTCATCCGCCAGAGCCTCAGTGACTTGTTTCTGGAAACCTTTGCCTTACTGGTGGAGAGGAATCAGACTTACTCTGTTGAAAGCAGTCAGGTGTGACTCGTTCGGGACGCTTCTGTACCTGTTTGTTTGCTTTGGCAGGGAGCGTGATTATGTGTGTCCATCCGGTAGCATAAACCTCTCTCGGGCTTTGGTTCCTGGCTTGTTTCATGACCTGTTAACTCAGAAATGCTGCGCCGTTAATGGGTGAAGCAGGCCAGAGTTCACTCAGCAGAAAAGTCTAAGCAATCTTTTCAGGGATGCTGAAGGCAAGAATCAAGCGGGTGGTGTCTTTGTTGCTTTGTTCAGTCAAAGGTGTGTGCCAGGCGGGTGTTAGGACGTTTGTAGTGTACAGTCAGTTGTGGGTCCCAGAGGTGTCAGTCATGCCAGAAACATGCAAGTTTTTGCTGCTTCACGTTCTGGGTTCCTCGGATAAGGGTGGACTGCAGGACAGGGAGAAATAACAAAGCAGTGAACTTCTGGGCTCATGTCTCGTCTCGTGTGCCTGCAGGATCTTGACCCTTGTGTTGGCTGCATGCAGACGACTGCCAATGTCAAGCTCTTCAAGAACTGCCAGGAGCCGGACGAGGGCGAGTGCCAGCCGTGCTTCTGCCGCCCCATGTGGTGCCTCAGCTGCCTGGGGAGGTGGTTTGCCAGCCGGCAGGACCAGCAGCAGCCGGAGACCTGGCTCTCCAGCCGCGTGCCCTGCCCGACGTGCCGGGCAAAGTTCTGCATCTTAGATGTCTGTGCGATCCGATGAACGAGGCCTGGAACCTGTTGCAGCTCCGGGAGACTGTCAGGTCCGCGTATGGACTTCATTCTGCTCGTGTGGGTGCCTCTGCTACACTGTGCTTCGTTTTCCGTTCTGCTTAATTTTCTTCGATTCTAACTCACATTTCATTGCTGTAATGGAACAATTGGGAGTTTGTCCCCCAGCCTTTAAACTTTGGCGATTCCTTTTTGTTCTGTTACATTTTGGGTGACAGGTAGTCTTATCACATCAGACCTCTGCTGCCAGAAGTATTCTTTAAAATCAAAAGGGGTTAACTTCTCTGTATTAAGCAGTATATAATTGTAAAGTATTCTTCCTATGCTGAAACAAGAATCACAGCTCAGCTTTTTTGGCATGTATAAAATTCCATCTCCATTTCCCTAAAACATCTTTAAAGTTTGTCCCCCCCCCCACCTTTTCAGCTTGTATTATCATATATGCTTTAAAACTCATTGAGTTTACTCCAAACTAGGCTATTTTAACTTTATTCCATTTGAAATCAACAACTTAGGTTAATTCCACAGAGTTCAGTAAGAGCACAATTCTTTTAATAGTGTACTTCTGTGCAAATCTATTTAGCGTAAGCCTTCTCGAATTCAGCCAGACTTATGTCCACATAAATGGATGGGCTTCAATCCATTAGTAACTTAGGAGTAGTTTTGTCACCTTTCAGTTCCTAGGGTAGCACCCAGTACTATGCAGAGTAGGCCCATTGAACTGCATGCTACTTACATTAGTGTGACTAACCATGATTCATTTCAAAAGATTTGCACTAGACATTGCTATACCTGGGAGTCCTACTTTTGGATTCAAGCATAGTAAGAACTAAGAAGAAACAACATTCTTGGATTTCTGTTCCATTTGTTTTTTAAAAGATTCATTTGTAAGAATGCATAAAATGGAATAGTAATCCTTTTAAATCTTAGCTCATAAGCTTATTGTTGAGCTTACCATTATTTTTAGCAAAGGCCTTGGGTGGAAAATGTGTTTGGAGATTAAGCAAAACCATGGTTTTGAAAAACGGAATATTACATAATTACCTTGCTCATAAAAGGAGTTGGCTGTTTTCTAACATGGAAAGCTCTACTCAAGCCCTTCCTGTGAAAAAACGTTTCCAGCTGAGAACTTCGGTTTTTTGCATACACAATTGGAGGCCAAATTAAGGCCTTGATTCTATAAATGAGAAGTTTAGAACTGGTTGGATCAGATCTGTGTATAGGCACTTAAATACATGTCTCATGAAAAATGAATTCCCAGTACAGTGGATTTCATTCATGTTTTTCCCAAACACTGCGTTCTCTGTATTCTTGTTGCTTTATCAGTCCTAAGGCTCATTTGTCCTCTGGGGCTGCTTGGGAACGTAAGGTGGGCATTGGCAGGTTTGTAATAAAGTGTGTGTCCGGATGCTACTTTTAATGACTTTGTCCTGAAGAAGGTACAGTGGTGCCTCGGCTCACAAACGCCTTGGTTCACGAACAAATTGGGTCACGAACAAAAATTTCATGAAAATTTTGACTTGGGTCGTGAACTCCGCATTGGGTGGCGACCAAGATCGTGGCCATCTCCCCCCCTCCCGCAAGTGAGGAGATGGCCACGATCGCAGTTGCTTTCATGCAGGGAAGGCATGCGTGATCACGGGCGCACTCCTGCAGGAAAGACGGGCGCGGCACAGCACAGCTGTGGGGGAGATGGCCAGGATTGCGCCCGTCTTTCCTGCAGGAGCGCGCCCGTGATCACGCACACCTGCCCTGCACAAAAGCAACTGCGATTGTGGCCATCTCCCCACTTGGGAGGGTGGGGATATGGCTGAGATTGCACCCGTCTTTTCTGCTGGAACGCAACTGGGATCTCGGCCATCTCCCCACCCCCACCCCGAGCACGTGCGGCCATCTTCCCCACACAATCGCGATAGCAGCCATCTCCCCCCCAGCCCCCCGTGCAGGCGTGGCTGTCTTCCCTGCTCGTGGTGGCAGAAAGACCTGAGGTCACTTGCTGCAAAGCTGATTGAATAATGGCTCCAAAGAAAGCGCAGAGCAAGCACGGTGGTAAAATGAATGTGCAGAGCAGTAATGAAGGTGACCAGAACGTGCAGAGCAAGAATGGTAAGAGGAAGGTTTCAAAGAAAATAACCATTGAACTGAAGGACATTGCAGAAAAGCATGAGTGCGGTATTGCGACGAAACAGGGCTCTTCTGGAAGATGATGCTGAACAGAACCTACATCATGATGCAGGAGGAAAAGGCACTGCTGGGGCACAAGCCCACGAAGGACCGATTGACCCTTTTGCTGTGTGAGAACACAAGCCCCGATCCGAAGATTAAGCCACTTCCGGTGTACCATTCCCAGACCCCTCGTGCATTCAAGGAACAGAATGTGACCAAGGCCAGACTGCCTGTGGTGTGGAGCCTGGGTCACAAGGCAGTTGTTCATGGAATGGCTGCTCGAGGTGTTGGCACCCACCGTTAGAAATACCTTTCCGACAACCAACTGCCTGAAAGGTGCCTTCTTCTGATGGACAATGCTCCGGCACACCCTCCAGCCTTGGCGGATGATACGGATGCCGAGTACCACACGCTCCTTCGAAGAGCTCCGTCTTCCCCTGGGGCATCGTTTGCTAAAGTGAGCTCATGGTGGAGGCCGTATTTACTGAGCTTGCAAACCGTCTAATTGGCGGCTGCCCTCGGAGCAGTTCACAATCATGAAATCAAACAGAACGACCTGCAGATGACGATAAATGGAATGCGGCAATACAGTATCAGAGCGCCGCAATACTGAAAAGAGGCGCATTCAAGCGGGAAGAGCGCTGAGGAGCCGGCGGAACGACGGAGGAATGGGGCCGCCTGGAGCGGTCGGCTCGGCTCGGCGGGCCCTCGCAGGCCGTGCCCTCCGGCCCGCCGGGCGCCCCCGCGGCCAACCGAGAGCCGCCCTGCGCCCGCCCGAGGCGGCGGCAGCCCCTTCCGGGCGGGCGGAGGGGGGCGGGGTTCCGGAGCGCGGGCGGAAGCGCGGGGCG